TTTTTCTTGTTCCGAGGGTATATTTAATCTTGAAATATTTCAAACTTGAAAACAGATTCTCACCTGACAAGCATCCTTGCCGCCCCTGAGAACCCCTGCGCAAATTTGACCGTTACCCACTGTCAGTTTGTGCAAAAGATGAACTCTGCAACGAGCTGCGTCCACTTCTCGTAGTTCCACCTTGAGTGGTGTGTCTGGCAGAGTTCCGCCTGAATAATTCGAAAATTTTTTTTTCTTTTTTTCTTGAAATTGTGATGTAAAATATTGATATTGTGTCAAACGAGTCGGTATTTCTGTGCACTTTAATTTCGTTTTGTATATTCTCTTATGCTGTTTTTTTTTCCTTCTTCCTTTGTGCCACCCGCAATGTAACGTATTTACAGTACTTGAGTACCACGCGCCCTCAAGTAAGGCTTGCACAGGGGTTTTTCAGTTGGAAATTTGGCTAAAATCGTATACCGGAGTAAGATGCGCACCCCACTTTTTAGTGAATCTAAAAGCAAAAATTTTCGAAAATAAATTTAAAAAATTTGACTTTTAGACATGAATTCAACAAAAATTGGATCAATTTTCAACTTTTTCAGTACAAACAAGTTTTCTTGTTACATTTGTTTGAAATTTCTCCTTTATAATTAGGTATAATGCACACATAACTTCCTAAAACTTATTGAAAAATGTGTACCCGCTTATGACGCGCACCCCTTTTTTTCTTCTGAAATTTGAGAAGAAAGGTGCATGTGGTACTGGAGTAAATACGGTAATTCATCATCTTGGATAAATATGGGTGGCACTATTTTAATGTATTGTACTGTAAATTAATTGAGTTTCTACTTTTTTTTTGTCTGGAAGAGTTTTCTCTGTACTGTACATCAGTGTTCCCCAACCTGTGGTCTGCAGACGTTTTTTGCTGGTCCGGAGGAAATTTTCAGCATAATAAACATATCAAAAGTTGGGATGAAGTCTGTTCTTTTAACCTAAAATTTTAAATTTGGCTTTTCTCCTAATAACATTTGAGACAATTTTTCAATTACTGAAATAAATAATTTTAATTTTTTGTTTTGAGAAACCTTCCTCCAAGCCCACCTTTCTAATTGTTTCATGACATTCTTAACTGAATTTTTCTTGTGTCTACCTGCCTAAAGAAATTCAAGCAAAAATAAGGCAATTCTGCAAAAAAAATTTGAAACTTCACCAGTCCGCAGAAAATGTTTTGGGAATTTGCCGGTCCGCAAAATTTTTTTTTTTATGTATGCTGGTCCTTGGGCCCAAAAAGGCTGGGGAACACTGTTCTATTTTACAAGGGTTCTCTGCAATAAACTTTTTTCTTGTCCCTTGAATTTGAGAGTTCACCTGTATTATTTGAGCAATTACATTGAAAACAATTTATTTGAATCTGAATCGAATTGCATTTAAATTGCATTTAGTTTTTTCTTCAAATGAATTTGCTTCAAGTGCGGCTGAACATTTTCCACGAGTGACTGTGATTTATAAATTTGATTTAATTTATTCGAAAATGTATTTCAGTGTACAACCTTCCTCAGTTCGTCCCCATCCGGCGACGATTCTAGGCGCCCTATGAGGTATGTCCTCTTCATCATCCTCAATGACGCAAACAGGCTGAATTCTGTCTGTGTAATTGACGGGTTTCCGCAGTCTGACCAGAGCGATGTCGTTATTCAGGGTGGAGAACTGGAATTCCTCGTGTCTGAACACCTTTTCTATCTTGATTATGGATTCCCCTTCCGTGTCATTTTGCATGTCGTACTCTCCCAGCACTACGCTCAGGAATTCTGCTGCTGGGCTGATTCGAAAAAATACGAATTCTATAGAATACGAATACGTATTCTAAAAAAATTATGCATCTTTCAATAAAATTTTTTACATTTTCAAATAAAGTACAGTATATATTTTTAAATAAACTAAAATTTTTTAAATACAATCTTAGATATTCTAAATAAAATCTTAGATATTCTGAATAAAATCTTAGATATTCTAAATAAAATCTTAGATAGTCTAAATAATATCTTAGATATTCTAAATAAAATCTTAGATATTCTAAATAAAATCTTAGATATTCTAAATAAAATCTTAGATATTCTAAATAAAATCTTAGATATTCTAAATAAAATCTTAGATAGTCTAAATAAAATTTTAGACATTTTAAAATAAAATTGTAGTCATTTCTGAATAAAATTGTAGTCATTTTTGAATAAAATTGTAGGCATTTTAATCAAATTGTGGACTTTTAAAAATAAAATTGGTCATTTCTGAATAAAATTATAGGCATTTTAATCAAATTGTGGACTTTTTAAATTAAAAATTGTGTACATTTTGAAGTGAAATTTAGATATTTTCAAATATATGGTAAACATTTTAAATAAAATCGTAGACTTTTTAAAATGAAATTATAGACATTTCAAAATAAAATTGTAGGCATTTTAAAATGAAATTGTAGCCATTTTAAAATAAAATTGTAGCCATTTTAAAATGAAATTTTAGCCATTCTAAAATAAAATTGTAGCCATTTTTAAATAAAATTGTGGACTTTTAAAAATAAACTGTAAACATTTTAAATAAAATCGTAGACTTTTTAAAATGACATTGTAGACATTTTAAAATAAAATTGTAGGAATTTGTAAATAAAATTGTAGGAATTTGTAAATAAAATTGTAGGAATT